AACAGATATAACTTTCCTGATGTTGTGGATCATTACCTAACGGAGTTGATATCTCCGGTTCTTCTGCATATATTTCCTGAATAGTTTTTCTTTTAATGTCGTTTACATAGATATACACATTTTTGTGAGTGTATAGATACTTAATGTATTGAGTTGTTGTTGTATTATATTCGCAAAGACTCGGTAACCTCATAGAGATGACCCAACACCTGGAGAATAGGTAGTAAATAGGTGAAGTACTTCAGGTTCCCTAGGTATCCAGGGAGGGCGAAGAGCAGCTTCTAGCGCCAAATAACTCATTCCTCCCTCTTGAAGTGTATTAAACCATGTGTGAATACATTCTTCGATTATTGAATATAATACAAACACACACACACAACAGGATCGGGGGACCAAGGTTGCAGAATTCTTTGAAAGAGAAGTACCTAGGTGGTACTAAGTATAATTCAGAGCATCTCCCCTGAGGCACTCATCAACCGATTTACCACGGTAGCAAACATGAGACTGGCTAGTTTAAGGACAGCTTTCATAAACCTCAACAAGGAATAATTCACGATAATACACACGGCATATGTCAGGCCCATCTTAGAGTACGTAGCATCAGGATTGAACCAGCAAGTCAGGAGGACATTAGATCCTAGACGGGCTCCAAGCAAGATGCTATTCGTAAGGGTAATTGGGTAATGACTGAAGGAGTTGCCAGTATAGATATTGCATTTGTATGGATTAAGGAAATGGCCCTTGGCTTGTTTTCGTGTCTTCAAGTGACCAAGATCTGTTAGAAGGGACATTAAGGGAAAGATGTCTAGTACCACTGTGGTGTAGCGGTCTAGAGCGTCGAAAGTTTAGCTGGTTTCTTGGAAGACTTCCTAAAATCTCGGGTTCGCATCTCGGCCAATCACAATATGATTTTTTTCTTTGATGAATAAACAGAATGATGGACGGGAGGAACTAACCGTGGTTCATAAACTGAAGGAAATTTAGTCGGGTTACAGTTGGCGCCTCTGACGGTGACATATACAGAGATGCTGCTTCTGATTCTTCCCTATGAAAAGTCTGGTGGTCGAGTGCTGGGCTTCTAAATTTATAGTCTACGAACCATACCACGGGCGGGATTTGAACCCGCGGTCAGAGAGTCTCAAAACTCCAGACCGCGGGTTCAAATCCCGCCCGTGGTATGGTTTGTTTGTAATCGTGTCATTACGATTTCGTGAGTCAGTTATAGTCTACGATTTGTGCCTTCCTCCCCCTCCACCCGGTCATTGACAGACTCTTATATTTATATAATATATATATATATATATATATATATATATATATATATATATATATATATATATATATATATATTTATATATATTATATATATATATATATATATATATATACATGTATGTATCAGAATAAGTGCTACTTCAAAGTACCCAGACTTTCCTTCAAAAGGCTAGTAGCATCTTACGAAAATCAGAACAAGGCAAAAAACTACTTAAACTTTTACCAGGTCAACCGAAACCAGCACGCCTGTATGGCCTTCCTAAGACACACAAACCTGGCATCCCACTACGGCCTATCACTTTGGGCATAGGGAGTGCACCACACGGACTAGCCGGCCACCTTGCCAAATACCTTTCAGCGCTTCTGAGCACCATCAGTCAAGCCCACCTCAAACACTCAGGTGACCTTCTCTCTCGAATTTCCAACCTGAATGTCAAAAACAAAAGCATGGCTTCCTTCGATGTCACAGCCCTCTTTACCAACGTTCCTACTGACGTTGCAATCAACATTCTGAGACAGAGGCTCACTGAAAACCACGACCTCCCTTTACCTCTTCTAGATTTCATCAATCTAGTGGAACTTTGTGTTAATTTCAACTTCTTCAAGTATCAGGACAACTGTTACAAACAGTGCTTTGGGATGGCAATGGGCAGCCCGCTCAGTGCTGTGCTCGCCAACCTCTTCATGGAAAACCTGGAGACAGAGAAATTCAGCACCCTTATTCCCAACACTGTTACCTGGCTAAGATACGTTGATGATATATTGGTTTTCTATCCGAGACGTCTCAATATCCAGGCCCTTCTCAACAAGATCAATGCAGCTGAACCATCAATAAAGTTTACACTTGAACTCGAAAACGATGGCAAACTTCCTTTCCTCGACGTTCTCCTGTGCAAATCTCCCGACAGTGACAAACTTCTCTAACAAGTGTATAGAAAACCTACCGACAAGGACGATCTTATACACTTTTATTCACACCAAGACACCCGCACTAAGAGAGGAGTCCTCATTGGCTTCTTCTTGAGAGCTCTTCGCATCTCCAGCCCTTGTTTTCTAGAAGAAGAATGCACTTACATAACACAAGCCTTTACACGTCTTCAGTTTCCATCTTTCTTCATCCGAGATTGCAGACTCAAGGCACAAGCTATTCTCAACAAACCGCCCATGGACCAGCCCCCTAAGCAGTTCATAGTACTCCCATGTGGTGATGTTGTCACGAATACTCGCCGGGCACTTGCTATGAGTAACATCAACGTTTCCACCATAAACACATCATCTATCAAAGACCTCACTACGAAACGCAGCCCCACACCTCTAGCTTCTACAGCAGGCGTCTACACTATCCCCTGTGGGTTCTGTCCCAAGAAATATGTAGGCGAGACAGGCAGAGATCTTGCAGTCCGCCTGAATGAGCATCGAAATGCCTCTAACAGAGACGATGTAAGGTACGCCTGTGTCCTCCACAGAGACTCCACGGGGCATTTGATGAACTGGAATGAGGCATAACTCGTTCTCACCGAACCAGACCTCAGACGCCGACGATGCCTAGAAGCCTCACTAATCGCCGTCACCGACACTATAGAACGTAACACTGGAAACGACAAAATTTCAAAAACATTGGCATACATGATACTTAAGCACCACCAACCCAACAACACAGGAGTCACATAATTTCATCGTCTATCCGTCCTCATCACAACATGACATTCCTCAGGTCACGTGCGTCACTCACACCTCACTCTCCGCCTATATATATAATGTCTTTCTCCCTCTGTATGTTAGAAGTGATCAAGGTCCCAGGACCGAAACGTTTTCTAATAAATATGTCATAGTGTTTACTTACGTGTCTTTCTAAACCATATATATATATATATATATATATATATATATATATATATATATATATATATATATATATATATATATATTATATATATATATTTGGATTTCTTCCTGAAGCCGTTTGAATATTCCACTTCCCCTACCACCCCATCTTTTAATATATATTTTTTTACCAATAGGAATATTTTATTACATAATATGGTACAGAAGATTTAAGAGATACATTCTTGATATAAAGGTGGCATATAAAGTACATGTTGTTACGTGTGTATCACCGATTATAAGGAGAAAATCTCATCCAGCTCCTCAGAGTTGGGGCGTGTACCCAAAATACAGCAGGCATTACCCCTTTGAACAGCCGTACTTAGCCGCTGGAACAGAAAACTAGCTGCCCTGGGATCCCTAGTTACCCTGATGAGTCTTTTTCCCAGCTCCTTAAGGAATTTAGATGCACTCTTTCCCCATGAACCAAGGGTCTCTGAGCCTATGGGAACAAACATATAATGATGGGCAAGTTCTCTATATTTTCTAGATTTTTGGGACTCCCTGAAGCTGGCGGCTGCCCCTCCTTCCTCCCTGGTGTATTGGAGATAGGTATCAGCCAAGGTAGATGCACATGTATAGTCCCACACCACCTGCTTCCCATCTGTCCAGGCTTGAAGGGTGATACCATCTGGACGCTTCTGGCTGCCATCAGATCTGCATAGTTGGGGTGGCTCCCTTACTGCTGGGCATCCAGCTGTTGTGAGGCTCCTCTTGATAATGTTATTAACCTCCTCATGTCTTGCAATCTTTCCCACGGATTTACGGCACACAAGACCATGGTACCCGAATCGGTCTGCTGCTTCACTGCCACAAATACACCTGTGTTCGGCGAGAATAGGGGCGGCATATATATGTATATATATATGTCGTGCCGAATAGGCAGAACTTGCCACCTTGGCTTAAATAGCAACGCTCATCTTGCCATATAGGACAAGTGAAAATTTGTGTATGCAATAATTTCGCCAAAATCATTCTGAACCTAACGAAAAAAATATATTTCACTGTGGTTGTTTAGTATTAAATTATTGTAAACAAATCTAAAATATATTTAGTTGGGTTAGGCTAAAATAAATTGTTCTTGTTATAATAAGGTTAGGTAAGTTTTCTAAGATTCTTTTGGTGCAAAATTACAAAAATTTACATTAACATTAATGAAAAAATATATCTTTAAACATATAAAAGAAAATTTCAGAAAGGACTTAATTGTAAATGAGTTCTTGCTAATTGACCAGTTTTTTCATATTCGGCACGACATATACATGTATATCTATCTATCTATTTATCTATCTATCTATCTATATATATATATATATATATATATATATATATTATATATATATTATATATATTTATTTATATACATATTATATTATATTATAATATATTATATATATATATTTTATATTATTATATATATATATATATTATATATATATATATATAGTTAGTCCCAAGTTCTCGCGTATGTATGCCCCTCACAAACAAACATAATGGTAAAAATCTAGCTAAGTTGGAAGCAACACCATGAATGGTACGTACAAACACTGGGCATTACCGTACGCTGACATCTCTTCCTTATTGCTGGCAACATCGTCTAGCTACTTTTTGCCTACCTGACGTCAGGACTCTCCATGACGTCATATATTAAGACTCTGCTCGCCTGATGTTTCTTCTTATATAACTAACTACTACCTCTTCCCAGCTATTTCTTCTAGAGTATTTTATGTGAGTATTCACATCGTAGTTAACTAAATAACTTTCGGGCAATGCATTGTTTTACTAAGATAAATAACAAGCTGGAATAGAGAGGGTGACAGCCACTCACCCAGGTGCCGAGGGTTATATAAGGTGTGCTGGAATGTGCTCCACACACACACACACCTCTGGACACCGTCACAACATGAAGCTTGCGGTGAGCTCTTTCATAAATCGTTGATTATACCCAGTGTAGTGCGTTGAGAATCTTGTATATTTTCTGCGGAGTGCATCTCTGGTGATGCACATTCAGTACAGTGCGAGTTGTAGTGTTGGTACACACTCAGAGACATGCATTAGTGTGTATGAACCGAGAGTATTTATTACTGGAAGTGTGTATTTCTCATTGCACATACTCAGAGAACAACAATTTATATACATTCGGAAAGGTGTATATACCTTGAAAATTGTGCACCTCTCAGTATATACACACACAGACGAATATATACATCAAAAGGAGTGTATCTCAGTGTATTTACGCTGAGAAGCAGGTATCTCTCAGTGTGAATATACCGAGAGTAGAAATATTCACTGGAAAGGGTTTATACCCCATTGTATATACTCTCAAAAGTGTTTTAAGAAATAATATATAAAACACACAACTGGAACGATGCACAAATAACCCGCAATAAGGAGACGAAATGCAATGACAACATTTCGGTCCGAATTGGACCAGTGACACGTTTCATTGTGACTTGTCAATGGTCTAACTCGGATAGAAACGTCGTCATTAGTTTCCTTCTTATTACTGCGGGTGATTTGTGTATTCACACACACACACACACACACAAAACCACACACACACACACACACACACACACACACACACATACACATTTTATACAAGCATACCATAAAATAAGTATATATTTCAGTGTATATTCTCTGATAGCTTAATATTTTAATCAAAATTTTAGGTATTAAGAAATCCTTGACTAGTGATATATAGAAGGCATTCAATCTTCATGACTCATATAGTAGATAGGCTTCAAACCCAAGTCATCTTCTTTTCCCCTCTTTACTTCTTCGAAGACAATTATAATTATTATTATTATTATTATTATTATTATTATTATTATTATTATTATTATTATTATTATTATTATTAGAGTGGAGTCTGTGGGATACACAATGGATTCAGGGATACCTCCAATAGAATGATAATTGGAATACATTAACAAGGTGAATACGAATAGGTAGAAAGGGAATGTACACTCTTGACCCAGTGACACTGTACAATCCTCTTCGGTTATAGAGCTGCGTAGAGCTCTTAGATAGTTCTGCTTGGAACTTTATCAAGCTCTTCGAAGCTTCATCAAGCTCTAACAAGCCTTGTCAATCTCTAAGAAGCTTTGTCGAGCTCTAAGAAGCCTTGTCAAGCTCGAAGAAGCTTTATCAAGCTCTCTGTAGAGCTTCATCAAGCACTGTGCAAAGTTTTCTTAGGCTCTGTGTAGAGCTTCATAAAGCTTTATGGAGAGCTTTATCACAGTCTGTGCACAGCTTTATCAAACTTTGTAAAGTTTTATTAAGCTTTACGAAGAACTTTATCAATCTTATGTTTTTAACAACTATAACTATCTGGAGACAGCTCTAATAAGCTCTGTGTGGAGCTTTATTTAGCTCCATATACAGATTTGTTAGGCTGCATAAAGCTTTATGTAGCTGTGTGTAGAGCATTATCAAGCTCTATTTAGAGCTTTATCAAGTTCTGTGTTGAGTTTCATTGAGCTTTACGTAGAGCTTTTACACTCTGTCGAGTTTTATCTAACTTTGTAGATTCCTATCAATCTCTGCGTAGAGCTTCTCTATAATTAAAGCTTATCTGCAACTTAAGCTTCACGGGACATTGCAGTGCTTTCATAAGACAGAGTAACAGTGCCTCTGGAACTTCTGACGGCACTGCAATGAAGTTAGGGGTTAGTAACAGTGCCTCTGGAACTTCTGACATCACTGTAGTGAGGACAAAAGTTAGCAACAGTGCCTATGAGCACTGCAGTGTCGACAAAAGTTAGCAACAGTGCTTCTGTGGCACTGCAATGTCGACAAAAGTTAGCAACAGTGTTTCTGTGGTACTGCAGTGTCGACAAAAGTTAGCAACAGTGCTTCTGTGGCACTGCAATGTCGACAAAAGTTAGCAACAGTATTTCTGTGGTACTGCAGTGTAAACAAAGTTAGCAACAGTGCCTCTGAAGCACTGCAGTGTCGACATAAAATAGAGTGGTAGTGCCAGTGTTGCTGTGGTAAAAGTGATGGATTTTGCAACTCGTTATTGACAATGTTTGATGTTCCATGATGGTTGTTACATTGTGTGTGTGTGTGTGTGTGTGTGTGTGTGTGTGTGTGTGTGTGTGTGTGTGTGTGTGTGTGTGTGTGTGTGTGTGTGTGTGTGTGTGTATGTGTGTGTGTGTGTGTGTGTGTGTGTGTGTGTGTGTGTGTGTGTGGTGTGTGTGTGGTGTGTGTGTGTGTGGTGTGTGTGTGTGTGTGTATGTGTGTGTGTGTGTGTGTGTGGATAAAATACATACATTCAAGCACCCGCGTGAATGTAGACTGTACACTCACCTACTAGACTGTACACTCACCAACTAGACTGTACGCTCACCTACTAGACTGTACACTCACCTACTAGACTGTACACTCACCTACTAGACTGTACACTCAGCTACTAGACTGTACGCTCGCCTACTAGACTGTACACTCACCTACTAGACTGTATACTCACCTACTAGACTGTACGCTCACCTACTAGACTGTACACTCTCCTACTAGACTGTACACTCACCTACTAGACTGTACACTCACCTACTAGACTGTACACTCACCTACTAGACTGTACACTCACCTACTAGACTGTACACTCACCTACTAGACTGTACATCACCTACTAGACTGTACACTCACCTACTAGACTGTACACTCACCTACTAGACTGTACACTCACCTACTAGACTGTACACTCACCTACTAGACTGTACACTCACCTACTAGACTGTACACTCACCTACTAGACTGTACACTCACCTACTAGACTGTACACTCAACTACTAGACTGTACACTCACCTACTAGACTGTACACTCAACTACTAGACTGTACACTCACCTACTAGACTGTACACTCACCTACTAGACTGTACACTCACCTACTAGACTGCATACTCACCTACTAGACAGTACACTCACCTACTAGATTGTACACTCACCTACTAGACTGTACACTCACCTACTAGACTGTACACTCAACTACTAGACTGTACACTCACCTACTAGACTGTACACTCACTACTAGACTGTACACTCACCTACTAGACTGTACACTCACCTACTAGACTGTACACTCACCTACTAGACTGTACACTCACCTACTAGACTGTACACTCACCTACTAGACTGTGCACTCACCTACTAGACTGTACACTCACCTACTAGACTGTACACTCACCTACTAGACTGTACACTCAACTAGTAGACTGTACACTCACCTACTAGACTGTACGCTCACCTACTAGACTGTACACTCACCTACTAGACTGCACACTCACCTACTAGACTGCATACTCACCTACTAGACTGTACACTCACCTACTAGACTGTACACTCACCTACTAGACTGTACACTCACCTACTAGACTGTACATTCACCTACTAGACTGTACACTCACCTACTAGACTGTACACTCACCTACTAGACTGTACACTCACCTACTAGACTGTACACTCACCTACTACACTGTACATTCACCTACTAGACTGTACACTCACGTACTACACTGTACACTCACCTACTACACTGTACACTCACGTACTAGACTGTGCACTTACCTACTACACTGTACACTCACGTACTAGACTGTGCACTCACCTACTACACTGTACATTCACGTACTAGACTGTGCACTCAACTACTAGACTGTGCACTCAACTACTAGACTGTGCACTCAACTACTAGACTGTGCATTCAACTACTAGACTGTACACTCACCTGCTGCACCTTACACTCACCTGCTACACTGTACACTCGCCTGCTACACTGTACACTCACCTGCTACACTGTACACTCACCTGCTACACTGTACACTCGCCTGCTACACTGTACACTCACCTGCTATACTGTACACTCACCTGCTAAACTGTACACTCGCCTGCTACACTGTACACTCACCTGCTACACTGTACAGTCGCCTGCTACACTGTGCACTCAACTACTAGACTGTACACTCAACTACTAGACTGTACACTCACCTGCTACACTGTACACTCACCTGCTACACTGTACACTCACCTGCTACACTGTACACTCACCTACTACACTGTACAGTCACCTGCTACACTGTACACTCGTCTGCTACATTGTACACTCACCTGCTACACTGTACACTCGCCTGCTACACTGTACACTCGCCTGCTACACTGTACACTCACCTGCTATACTGTACATTCGCCTGCTACACTGTGCACTCAACTACTAGACTGTACACTCAACTACTAGACTGTACACTCACCTGCTACACTGTACACTCACCTGCTACACTGTACACTCACCTGCTACACTGTACACTCACCTACTACACTGTACAGTCACCTGCTACACTATACACTCGCCTCCTACACTGTACACTCACCTGCTACACTGTACACTCACCTGCTACTCTGTACACTCGCCTGCTACACTGTACACTCACCTGCTACACTGTACACTCACCTGCTACACTGTACACTCACTGCTACACTGTACACTCACCTGCTACACTGTACACTCACCTGCTACACTGTACACTCACCTGCTACACTGTACGCTCACCTGCTACACTGTACACTCACCTGCTACAATGTACACTCCCCTGCTACACTGTACACTCACCTGCTACATTGTACACTCACCTGCTACACTGTACACTCACCTGCTACACTGTGCACTCACCTGCTACACTGTACACTCATTTGCTACACTGTACACTCACCTGCTACACTGTACACTCACCTGCTACACTGTGCACTCACCTGCTACACTGTACACTCATTTGCTACACTGTACACTCACCTGCTACACTGTACACTCGCCTGCTGACCTAAGATAAGATAAGATAAGATTTCGTTCGGATTTTTAACCCTGGAGGGTTAGCCACCTAGGATAACCCAGAAAAGTCAGTACGTCATCGAGG